TGAAATTTTAAAACCTCCCATTCCTGGTGCCCTGCCCCTCAGAGAGTTCATTAAATTTGTTGTGTTAAAATTAATTGGGCATCGCACACATGATCTCGGGGCACTTGCTTCTACAGCGTGAGATAGGACCGTCTGCAGGTGGATGGAAGAAATTAGGGTCTGCTGGGTTTGTGCTGTTTTTAAAGGGGGGGGGGTATTGGACAGCCGGAGAGGAAGAGCACATTCACTTTGCTTGGCCCAACGGGGGACCACTGAATCACGTGGGCGAATTACAGTTCGAAAGAGGAAGAGAGTAATTGACTCGTTCTAAAGCAAAACCATTCTGAGTTTAAGGATAAAGAAAATTAATTCAACAAACAAGATGTGTTTTTTAAAGAGACAACCAGGAGCCCCATGGCCGACTGTGTTCCACAGAGGCAGGGCCCATAGAAATGGCTGCTTCTCACCAGAGTGCCAGGCGCTCGGCTAGGAGCCCCAAACACAGCGGGTGGAAAGTTCTGACCCATGTGGAATGAACAGGGGTATGGAAGTCACCACACACACTTGGAACTTAATTAAGATTCTGCAGGGTGGCTGATAAAATTGCATAGAGTTTTAAACCTGCAGGATTAAAAAAGACATTTCTACACTATAAGAACCCAAAGACGGAGTGGGAAATCAGTGGCAACAGATCAGGAAAGATCTCAAAATAAAGTTCTGCAAACTAATAACACTTAAGCACACTCTGTAAAAATTTAACTTGAAAGAGGAAGGAGCACCATTCATAGCAATCGAGTCCCAAATTAGAACGCAGCAAGAACTTTGGCATGAATAAACATTTGCACTAAACACATAAATCACTGCATTTTCAAGTAAGAAGAGGACAGACTAATCTTACCTTATTGCTGCAAGAGGCTGGAATAAAAATTACTGGCTCCTAGAAGCAACTTTCACATGGATCCGAACATCAAACACCACACACAGTATAAAAATCAAAAATAACTAGAACAGAAAAGTTTTCAGTCTGACCTTAAAAATACTGAGCAAATCACTAGATGAAGCCAGATCAAAAGGGAGGGCATTACACCAGCTTGTAGCCAGATGTGAAAGGGTCCCCAACGGCACAGGGCACAGATGGTATAAATGGGGGTGGGGGGCACTGGGGGATCCAAGACAGGAGGCCAACAAACCTGGTTCAGCTTACGCAGGTAGGAGGCCACAGACGATGAATGCCTTTCAAGCAAGACAACTGATAAGATTTTAAATTCGGAGCAAAGGATGCTCATGGTCTCAAGTCGAAGTGTACTCATTAGTTCACACTTCTAATTCTTCTGAGCAATAATTCAAATGAAACTAAATTGTGCAAAGTTAGAATGACTCGTTACAAATAAATATTAAGAAGATAGCATTCATGCGTTAAAAAAAAAAAAAAATCATACCAGAGGTTGAAAGGCATGTTACCTGATTAAGGTCTGCAAAATTTGGGAGGAATTTATTGTGTGCTCACAAAATTAACAACTCCATTTGAAAACACAGACCCTATAGATTCATTGAAATGTTCAAAGTCCTTTAATATGCCCTGTTCATTATATAATGAAAAGTGCTGAAACTAAAAAGCTTTTCTTTAAAACTGCTTCTTTGTATGTAAAAAGAAAATAGGTACCATTCATGTTCTATAGAGAACTCAGAAACACATATATTAAGTTCATGCTCATTTCTCTAATGCAGTGTTGCTAGTTTAATAAATCCCAAATAATCACTTGTTCCAAAATAAATGTTAAAAAAAAATCCTGACTTCAATATCACACGTTGAAATTAGAAATCTTCTAATTCTGTGAGTTTGTAACTTTCTCAGGCAAAAAAACTCAAACGAAACACTTAACACAGATTCCTTCTACCTTGCGATTTCCGAGGGACACAATAGAATATCCAAAGGCTCTCTTATTGGATATTCTAAGGCACATTCAACACACACATATAAGATGGCACTCTAAATTTTAGGAGCAATGGAGAACAAAAAATATTGACTTCACAATGACTTGCTTCTCCTGTGCAGGGTTTGGGGACACTCACTGGATTTTTCTGAGACTTCCATGTATTAAAGAATCCCTTCAGTTTAGTAACAGCTTTGCTAAGCTACATTTAGAAAGTGACAATTAATTTTAGTGGAAATTCATTCCCAGGCTACTTTGATAGTCATCTGCACAGTTTTGCGTTATTTTACATGCAATTTTATAGCTCTATAACATTCATTTAATCTTGTTCAATGATGCTGAACCCCAGATGCTATAAGACATTATAGAAAAGTAGTTACTGCGCATATGGAGTAGCTACTTTTTCTGAACGTTAATTTCTTTTCTCTTAACAGGCTGAAATGGTATTTATAAAAGAGAAAAGCCAGCACTCTGCATGTGAGGTTTTATATTAAGGACTTCCAGAGATGGGCTGCTTAGGATAGCTGTGGTCTTGGCCATAAAGTTCTTATTTACGAGCATCATCTACTCAATCTTGGTCATAATGGTTTTCGATAGCTTTTGCAAGATTGTTGATGTTTCAGATTTGAATCAGGACTCTCGGGTATTGGAGCGGGCGCGGCGGGGGGGTGCGTTTCTCACCTGTCATATGCAGAGGTTGGGTAAGACCAGGTATTCTCAAGTGAGGACCATCAGCATTAGGGTCACTGGGGGCCCAGGTAAAAATGCAGATGTCCAGCCCTCCCCGACCTCCAGGGGAGCTGGACACAACCCCAGGTGAGTGAGCACCTGGGATTCTTTTGTGTGCTCAGAAGCAAGAAGTCCTGGAAGATGATCTCAAAGGTCCCTTCTGTTCTCAAATTCTAAGAACCCCTGAGTTTTCTCCTAAATATCTGGCCAGGTCAGTACCATGAAATCAGGGACTTGTGGCTTCAATGTGTTAACAAATAAGGTCTTGAATTTTGATGCATTATGTAAAAGATAACAGAAAACGAGCCCGGAACAGTATAGTTGGGCAGGTAGGGAATCTCCGGGGGGGCCTTTTGCTTTTTGAGAGAATAGAGGGAAACCTGTCTAACTGCTGCACGGGAACTCGGCTTGGGGGGCTCTTCTCTGTACCTCGCCTGTTTCCTCTTTGCCCTTGGTCTCCTCGGTGTCAACAGAGACAGTTATCCAGGCTTTTTATAGTCCTGAGCCACCAAATCCAGAATCGTTCTAATTGGCCTCCGTGTATTAAGAAACTCCCACAGTGCACAGGCAGCCCACTTTCTTTGGAATGAGTGAAATCTTCCAGAAACCCAAAATACAGGAAAGGTGTGTGTCTGTGTCTGTGTGTGTGTGGGGGGGGGGGGGGGGGCGGGGGGAGGGGGGTTACATGCTATGTTCAGCAAATTAAAAAGGAAAAATAAATCCTATCTTTTTGTCTTCAGGCATACTATTTGATAAAACACTTACTGTAGCTCTTATTTGTATGTTTATTTACTCTCCATGACTGCCCCTGGGGCCGATGAGAACTGAGGAGTCGATATTTTTTTTTTAAGCGTGTCTAGAGAGTTCTCTCTTTAACCCATTTTTATCAGGTGTGCAAGAACTAAATGTCGACCACTAAGAGTGATTTTCACACCTTCTAATCTACTTTGTATAAAAGTCTCAAAGCAACACGCAGTAGGATCTTCAAACAGTCCCACAAACATGGCTGGGCAGAGTCTGGGGCGGGCAGGGGCCTGTTGGCTGGGAGGCAGCGCCACCCAGTGACCAATGCAGATGTTGTCAGCTCTAGGTCAAAGTCGGGAGCCTGCAGAGTGAGCCTCATGGCGAAGGCCAAGTCACAGCAGTCAATTCCAGACTCCAGCCCTCAGGGTGGGCCAGAGAGGATGAGGAGCTATTTACAATAGGCGGCCACGTCTGTGCAGACATTTAGTGCTGACCAGGGAGACCTGCAGGGGACGCTAGGCCTCCACAAGGAGGCCAGTCAGAGGCAGCGGGCTCAGACTGGAGCACTCAGCTCTGGTCTGCTGGCCCCGTGCCCGGGGGAGGCACCACCGTTGGTAGGCTGAATACTGTATCTGCCACTCCCCACTCCATCTAAGGGTCCTCCCATCGTGCAGTCCTGTGACTGTGTGTGGGTCAACAGAGCTAGCCCAGGAGAGGCCAGGGCAGAGAGTGGGCGTCACCTAACAGTTACTAGGATCCTGACTTCGTTTTCCTGTTCTTTCCCTCCATCAAGGGTACCACGAATTTATACGATATTATATTCCATGTAGAGGTTTGCTATAAACTATCATCATTTCAAACACGAGGGAAAGCTGGGGTGGAAGAGAAAACCTAAACATTGAGCAATCTAGCACTTCAGAAAGTGCTTACACAAAAGAACCCAAATGCCTACAAGCCAGTCTCTGAGGGGGCTGCTGGCCCTCACCTACGGGGTCCAGCTCTCCTAAGGGAAACAAGCCCTATGGTGTGGCAGTCACAGTTGTGGGGGTGGGGGCAGAAAACATATCAGCTTCAATCCAATTTCCTGGCTCTGTGTTGCAGACCCTAACAATTTGCAAGAAGGGAAAGTGAGCCCCTTGAACTCCCTGTGGCTCTCTTCCCAGACTGCAAGGCCTTCCCTAACCAGGACCTGGCTGATGGACCCAAGATCCGCCCCAGCGCCGGCCAAGAAGGGTGAACTGCCTAACACGGAAGAAGTCACATGCCCTGGGAAAGATTTCCTTCTATCTCAAAGGAGTATTAGCTTCTTTAATCTAAGAAGGTAATGAGAGGTTTTTAAACTGATTAAATCAGCTTAGTTCATACAAAGTCTATTATGACTAAATATTCAATTAAAACAATTTCCAAAGCAAAATCTGACAAAAATCCACTCTTAAAGTAATTTAGATGATAGGTTCTTAACATTTGGCAAATTAAATCCTTCTCATGGTTAGTATTTTCCTGAGGGTCAGAAATAGTTGCAGAAGTTCACTGGGACCAAAAAAAAAGAAAATCTACTCTGTGTACTCGTCAGGTTCCAAGATCATACACAGTAAAAACTGGAAATCATTAACATGAGCCTAACATTCCTATTTTATTTTATTTTTACTCCAAAGGCTACAAACAGGCAAAAGTTAAACATGTCATCACAAATGCTTTAAATAAAAATAAAAATTCCAAAAATAAAAATTCCTCAAAATCCATTTACTTTATGGAAATATATATGAGAATTATACTGAAGTCGATTTTATCCTTTTTTTCTCATCAATCAGAAAAATACGTATATTATAAAAAAGAATTTCATGTCCAGAATAGCTTTTTTTTTAAATCCTTGAGGAATAATTCTAAAAGAAGATGAATGTTCAGAGAAACGTATGTCGTTGAGAGATACAAGTCCCAGACTTTTACTAAATGGACTCGATATTCTTATACCTCATAGTGGAACTGCTGAAAAAACTCGAGTTTAGAAAAAAGCACTTTTAAAAACGATGATTGGTGATTATCATGGCTGACGTGGTTAGTGATGGGAGGGAAGGGGAGGGACCTGTCACCCACAGGCGCTGCGGAGGACGGTCGACTATCTGAATGGAGAGTCTTACTCAGGGACCGGAGCTGCCTGCCACAGGGTCTGGAAGTCCTGGTACCTCGAGGTCTGGGACACGTGTGCCTGTACCATTCCCACGACTCCAGCCGGCCAGGAGGAGCAGGCGCCTCCTGCACCTGCCCTCGCCCAGGTAAAAGCACCCAGTGGGGCAAAGCTGAGAGAGGGGAACCGGCACGTTTTGAGTGGGTCCCCTGTTCCCCACGCGGCCATTTCCCTCTCCTGAGACTGGTGATTCTTTGGCAGTGATTACACTATACGTCAGCAACACCAATGATCAATATGGGCAGGAGGCGCTCAAAGCTCAGTGCTGGGAATGCTCACGTGTATCTCGGAAAGGAGATCTAAGCTCCTTCTCCTAGGTGACAATGCAGGGGACAGCTGCCAGGCTAGAGGCCATGGGGATCCGGATTGACGGATCAGGGCGGATCGGAGGAGCAGGGCTCTTTCAACAAAACGTGATCGAGGGGATCTGGGAAGTCTTCAGTGGGGGAAAACACCTCAACAGTGGAAGAAGCTCAATTCAAACACTGAAAAAATGATCGATTCCTCTTTCAATTGGAAACAGCAGGTTTACTACCAGGAGAAATCCCAGGCCGCGGCTCCGAGCTGTCCATGGAAAGGCCCAGCTGAAATTCTGGTTGGACGTATTTCCACGGAGGGTCCGAGAGACCTGTAGCCTGATTTCTATTCTGATACTAAAATGTGCTTGTAGTTTTCATGTGAGGCAACTCTGACTGCTGCTTCCCTTTTACGGCTTAAGGAAAAAAAAAGTTTTAAAACAGAAAATAAGAGAGAGGTGTGTGATGTCAGGGCAAAATCAGCCTAGGTGTGGTTTTTCTTTTCCCTGGGACACAAGAAACAATGGCCACAGCTCATGGTTTGCAGGGATGTGTCACAACAACCAACCCGGAGCCAGGCTCCCCCAGCGAGTGCTCAGACTAGCTGGTACGTGCAGCTTCAAAGACTCATTAACTAGGGGAAGCCGGGCCATTCAGAGTGAACAGGGAGTGCAGAAAACAACAATTAGCCCCAAGAAGGAATTTTAAAGGGCCAAAAAAAAAAGAAAAAAAATCAGAGTGAAAAGAACAGAATTTAAAAATCAAAAAAAATCTTAAAAAAAAGCAAGGAACATGACGGTAGCAACCCACCCCACCTCCCCCACCCCACCTGCCGCTGTTGCCACTGTGAGTCCTAAACCCACTCTAAATTGACCAGCATCGGGCTTCAGAGGGTCTTCTCTTCACTCTCCCTCCTGATAAGACCGTTTCCAAAACCACTCAGCAAAGGACAAAGAATTCTTTAGAGTGCAATTAGTGTTTTCCACGTCCACCTTCAAAAGCATGATGCTCTTCATGGGCTAAAGGACAGAAAAAAACAAAAAAAGAAAAAAAGGAAAGAAAACTTTAAGCAAAGGATGGGCCAACCCTCCTCCAGGCACCTCATTCCGCTTCCCCAAATTCTGGCAAGCGCTCAAACACCTTTTTTTTTTTCTTTTCTCTTTTATGCCAGTGACTGTTAGCTAAGGCGTGCACTTCCTGAGAAACGCAATCATGGAAATTCAAACAAGGGATCAACAGGCAGTGGGCATGCGGCCTGTCTCTTCTTGCTGGGCCTGCAAGGGTGACGCATCCCCAGCGCTGATGGAGGGAAGACGGTGGGCTGTAGGCGAAGACCTCAGGGAGCAGGCACCCAGAAGACGCACAGGGCCAGGCCAGCCGTCCCCGGCCATGCACCAGCCCAGCCCAGCCGAGGATGCAGTACACACCAAAGCTAAAGAAAACAAGAACCAGGCCAGGCCAGCCAAGTCTCTTCTGCTTCCCTGCTAAACTCCTGGGTCTTTCTTTTGTCCCCTCTTGCCCCAGCCTCCCAAGGGATCCTCAGCCCCCTGCTGTCTGGCTAGCAAAATTAGGAATTATAATTGCCAACTCCAGGATAAAAAAAAAAAACACGCTACAACAAATGTTTCCAAAGACTTTTAAAGCAGAAGACTGAAAGGGAGACACCTATTGTAACAGGTCCTCCGAGGCGAGGGCCACGTTTGGGGACCAGCTTCTGGACCTGGTTAGTTATCACTGTGGAGCTGGGTCTGATGGAGCCAGGGAGATTCAGGATCCCGTGTGCTTGGTCCCCACCCTGGCTCCACTGCAGTGGGTCCTAGGGAGACTCAGGTGGGCTGCCCCTCTACTTCTGAAGCCCTCCCCCTGTTTTTCAAACAGACTCATCTTCAGACTATTGTTGGGCAGTAGACGTCACGTTCTCTTCTTTGGGCCAACACCAGGGATACACAACAGACAGCCCCCAGGGTTACCTGGGGTTGGTCGAAATCCTGGGAGTGGCCTGAAATCTGACCTAATTTAGTGCTTCTTATGGCTATCGCTTTGCAAGTATTTCCCTGTGCTTGCTTTTTTTCTTTCTAAGGAAGATATTTTAAGGCAGACACGAAAGGAAGCCTGGTTTGGCCTGCCACGAAATATTCTGTGCTGCAGAGTCAAAGAAGCCACAGACAAGAGCAAGGCTGGTCTACAAATGATAAGGCCAAAGACACAGACTGCCCAGAGATTCTGAGTACTTCTAGGTGTGAAGAGCAGTCTGGGCTAGCCTTCACGTCAATGCGGCAAGGCACACATAACCGCTGAAGCCAAACTGCACAGCACTAGGAGGGGGTCCCGGAGGGTGCTCTGGGAACCTCAGGGCAATGGGGTGGGAGGGGAATGGATAACTGCTCTCCAAGCCAGGGGGGGGCCAACTTTTCCTGATAGTAGCACTTCCTGTTGCATTAAAACAGCTACAGGAAATATGGATACCAACGGGCACTTGCACAAGCCAATGAGACTACAGACTCTGAAATTTGATATATAATTTTCATGTCTCACAAAATATAGTTCTTCTTTTGATTTTCTTCCAGCTATTAAAAAAAACCATCCTCTGGAGCACAGGTGTACAAAAGCAGGTGAGGAGGGAAGGAGAGGGAAATAGAGACCTGGCTCGGATTGCTGGTTTGCCTGCCCCTGTTTTCAACAGTGTTCACTTCAGGGAGGACCCTCGGTCACACCTGGGATGTTTGTATATATGTGTGTGAGTGTGTGTGTGTGTGTGTGTGTGTGTGTTACCTGTACACTGTGCATTTCTTTCTTTTTTTTCTTTTTTGGTACTGAGGATTGAACCCAGGGACACTTAACCACTGAGCCACATCCCCAGCCATTTTTATTTTTTGAGACAGGGTTTCCCTAAGTTGCTTAGGGCCTTACTAAGTTGCTGAGGCTGGCCTGGAACTTGCGATCCTCCTGCCTCAGCCTCTCGTATGGCTGAGATTACAGGTGTGCACCACTGTGTCCGCTGTGCACCATGAATTTCTTGCTGAAATAATCTGTGTGGAAATCACGCAGCAATGGCCAGTCCTCACCCAACCCCTAGAGGCTGTGACGGAACATGCTGGTGAGCTCCACTGTTACCCAGCTTCTACACACTGGTGGACACTGACAGAGGAGCCCATGACCAACACAGAATAAAGGTCGGTTGGCCATTTCTACCCGAGGTTGGGAGCTGTGGGTCCTGATTTTGGGGAAACCTGGCAGGGCCCTGCTGAGTCAAGGTAGCACTGTCCGTCTTCCCATTCCAAATTCTGAGAATCTTGCGAGGTTTACGTGCTCTTATGTGCCATTACAGTGTGGGTTCTGCTGAGACTGTAGCCAGTCCTGCGTTGCTCACAGGCTTGACCTTGGCCCCTACCGTCAGGTTTTACCCACCTTGATCGGCTGGCAGGTGGATCTGCCTTCCCGTGTGGCTTTTCTCTCCCACCACCTGCTACCACAGCGCCAGGCAGAGTCCTCTGCCCTGCTCCTGCTGCCTGGTCATGGCCGATGCCCTACCACCAGCCTAAGCGCCCCGTACCCTGATCGCCTAGTGAAACACGCACACCAATGCTGAGCCTGCGGCTACGGGAAACCTGTTCTTAGGATTCTGAAGAAGAAGGGACCTTGCAGATCATCTGCCGCCAACCTCCTCCATGCCCAGGTGAGAAAGAAAGGGAAGGTGCCGTGGGAGGGCTGCTCTGGGCGCAGCTCGCATCCTCAGAGTCAGCACGGGCCGCTCAGAATGCTGAGGGACGTCTCGGCCCCTTCGTGAGTGGCAACAAAGCCATGCCCTTCTGAGTTTCTGCTTGTCAGTCTTGTGGAGCAGAAAAGAGCCTTAGAGGCCTTTAAATTTATATCTGGGGTAAAGATGCAATCAATGTGTCCCTGAAGAATAAAAACGGCACCTACCAATGTGGCCTCTCCACGCTGCATGGCCAGCAGACACCTGCACAGCGTGTGGCTGGTCTCTTTTATTTAACCTTTCCTTTAAAATTCAAAGGATTGGTGTCTCCTGAGCACCTGCAGCGCCCCATCATTCTCCCCAAGCTGTCTGCAGGTGCCCGGACGATTCCCTACACGGGGCCCTAGTTTTCATATTAGCTACCTTTAGACCAACACTAAACAAATCTGCTATTTTATTCTTTTTTGGAAAGGAGTTGGGGAAAGTGAGATGATTATGACGTACGTGTATTTCAGCAATTCTAAGATGCTCCCATCCTGCCCCCCCCATACCTGAGGAACTATGGAATCGAGATTGTGCTCAGAGTGTAATTGGAGTCTCTTTTTCCCCCTTAGTAATAATAAGAAATGGGACCTCCTATCATCAAGAGCATCTTAGATTTGATGAAATACAGTAGTTAAAACAAACAAACAAACAAACATGGATTAGTGACTCTGGGGACAGTTTGGGACGTAGGAAATTTATCACACATCTGTAGGGCTGTCCACTCTTTCGACTCCCTGTTCAAAGTGTACCCTGAAGCTCGATCTACCCAACGCTGGCTTAGCAGCCTTAGGGTGGTTTCATTATGAAGAAAAGATGACTGTTTCAAAAGAACACACAAAGCAATGCACGTGGGTCACGATGAAGACAAGGGTCACACAGCTCTTCACACTGCTAACATTCCACACTGTGCACGGAGTCCTGCTCCTCTCTGGACCCCAGCCCGCGTCCTGAGCCAGGCTGAGGCCCGAAGTAGGTTCAGCCATGCCTGCGCGGGATGAGCGGTCCCCCCAGACACAGACGTTATACATTATAGACTCCCCTCGCGAAGGGTGATTGAACATCTACCTGCTGGCTCATATAATAGCAGTTTTTTTGTTATTGTTGTTTCCAATGGAGTCTAATTTTTGTGTGTGTGTTCCTGAGAAGAACAAATTCAAGTTCAGATTTAAATGTTTGAAACCACAGACACAATGTGTTCTTCCTTCTCGGAGGCCCGCAGTTAGGCAAGGATAAAGCCTTATTTTAATTTTGGAGACAACTTGTTGATTTAACAAAAAAAACCCAAAACAAAACAAAACAAAAAAACCCTTTGGTGTGTTTTGTAACCTCATCTGAGTGGCAGGATTTCAAGTGGCCCTGCCTGTGCCTGGCCTACCACATGGTCTATGTTTGAAAGTCTGATTGAATAAGCTGCAAAGTAGTAACTAAAAAAGAAACACTTACGTTTATAAAATACGGCCTTAAAGGAGATGTGGGGCAGGAGCTCATGGATCTTCTCGAGGACGGTGGCTTCACCCACCAGGGAGGCGTCTACATTCCAGACCTGGACGACATCTTCCCGGTCCCGCACGCTGACACTTACTCCTATGACTTCGTCATCTGCGGGAGACGGGGAAACAGGGCTGAGATGGCTTCAGGTCTGTGGGATTACTTTTAAGCACCTGTGCACTTCAAGTCAGGTGGGGCGGGAAAGCGGGGTCTTGGAGGCCTCGTGGGGAGTTGTTTTAATGGGGTACAGCTGGGAAGGCAGTGGTGTGCACAGCACAGTGGTCTCATCCCCTGGGGGGCTCACATAAAGTGCTCCAGCCAAACGCATTTTCCAGGTAAGTCATTTTGCCCTTTAAACATGTCACCAAAGCTTTCTTTCCATTTCTTACCCAGCGATGAGGCTTTCTCTGCACAGGTTGCGCAATCCCTGCCCTCGGAAAGCCAAGTGCACTCGAGTGAACCCTTCCCTAAAGCCTTGCTTGGTTGAAAGAACGTCCCGACCCTTTGCCACACTCTCGCAGAGCCTGGGGTGGCTAGTCCCTTGGCCCAGTGCTCACTGGGCCTGGACCCTGCGTGCCCAGCTGCACATCTGCTTTCTGAGGCTGGCCTGCTCCTTCCCTGGGAACCCTTCCCACCCTCTGGTGCCTCCCTCCGGCTCTCTAGGCTTGCACTGAAGGGTGGACTGAGAACCAGGGACCATCTGTTAGCGCTGTGCGGGAGGCAGAGGGACACTCCCTGAGGGTCAGCTGGCACCGTCCTTCAGCGCATGGCCATGGAGGCTGCCTGCACGCATTAGCAGAGGCTTTTTTAAAAAAATATTATTTATTTTTGGCTTTGTTTTTTTAAATGAATCTGATTCCAGATTCAGGGCTGTCTCGTGGACAGCCAATGGTGGCCACACAGCAAGGCTTATTCACTGGTACGCGCTCTCACGGCCGCTTTGCCGAGGTTGTTGGGCAGGGAAGTTGATATCAGCACAGGCCTCGCGGCTGGCCTTCCTGTCCACGGCAGGGCCATCGGTGGGGGATGTATGGGAGATGAGACCCACCACCAAGAGGAAGCTCTGCTTTGGAAACGCGCTGCGCCTGGCTTGCTGGGCTGCAGACCCACGTGTTCACGCCCCTCTCTCCGTGGTCTTGTGCAGGCTAGGCCACCTTGGAATCTGAGTAGGAGTTCCATAAGGGTTCGTCCAACTTCCTCAAATCATCTTCAGCAAACAATTCCTCCCTCTCCCTCTCCCTCTCTTCCTTCTCTCCTTTGTAAAAGCAATGGAACCTGGTAGATGTGCACAACACTGACTGCTTACAGAGATGTCCAGGAACGGACAGGATGGGACCAAGGGTAAGAAGGGGCACTGGCGGCCCCTCTGAAGGGAGGGAGGGCGGGGGGAGGCTCTGGGGGCTGATGATGTCCTGCTCCTTGGCCTGTGTGCTAGTGACTGGGACGTACGTACTCCGTGAACATCTACCAGGCTCTAGGAAGTGTGGGCCTTGTATGTGCATCACATTTAGACAAAAGTGAAAACACACACAAAACCCCACCCTGCCTCCTGTGGAGGCCAACCTCAGATATGGTTCTCATTTAAATATAGAGTTGCTAGAGCTCAATGATACATTTCACATAAAAACAGAATTATCAAAGGAAGAGGGAGGCTGGGAGGCCTTCCACCATCAGGAGAGGCCAAGAGGCCTCTAGACCAGCCTTCTGGGGAAATCTGTGCATCCTGGCTTCAGGACGGCCTTTTCTACACCACTGGTCGGCAGGAGAGGTACCAGGTGGGTGCCAACAGGCTGAACTGTCTGGGTTTGGGCTGGGCTCGGCTCTAGTAACCTGGTAGCTAAGAGCACAGGCCATTCCAGAGCGTGGTCAAACAGCCCAGCCCACACAGGCCCACCAGCCAAGAAGCCCTGTCCATACACGGAATCATCCAGCAGCATAAGACAGCACAGCCAGGAGGAGCCACCGCTCAAAGGTGACAGACGTGGCCCAGAAGGACTCCTCACTCAGTGCTGGGTATTTATTACTTAGACTTCTCCCCGGTTCTGGAAATGGGAGCAATTCCTGCACAAACTCCCTCTCCCAGGGCTCCACGTGCTCAAGGTCACGCACAGGAGGCCCAGGGTAAACTAGCTAATGCTTCCTGCAGACCCAGAAGGAATCACAACTTTTAAGACACTTTTACCTTCACCTAAGCTCTGCCTCACATGGATAACAAGTAGTGGAAGAAGTAAACAAAACCAAAGTGGAAATATCTGAGATTGCAGGGGAGAGGGGTGGAGATGTGCCGGGGCGGGGAGGCCCTCGTGGTGTGCACTGAAAGCTCCCCAGAGGGCCACTGTGGAAGCCTTTCAGCAAGGAATAGTAAGAACGATGGTAAATAAGAGTCAATGAAGGCCTAAGTGAATTCAGGCGGATCAGAGAAGCTGTTATGCTAAGGTCTACCTCCCAAGCCTTCAGAAAAAGGTCCAACAGAACTCTACCAGGCAGCTACGGGTCCTCTGTGGGGATTCCTCATGGACGCAGAGCAAAACTGAAGTGCTGGCCGAGGGGGGCGGGCACCCGGTCAGGGGAGGAGCTCGACCTCAGCCTGCAGGAGGCCCCGGGTTCCATCCCCAGCACAAAAAGGAGAAGGGTGCTCACGGGGCCCCCGTGTGGACCCCTGGGGTATGGCAGTGGGCGCATCCCGGCCCCTGTGAATGTCCTCTCTGAGCAAAGGCCAGGAAGGATGAGAGGAAGGGGCAGGGACTGAGCAGGACGGAGGGTCCCTGCCTCCCTACAAACCCTACTGGACACCCACGCACCTTCCCCTTCCAGAAGACACCAAGGAGACAGGGAAGACAAAGACCAACTCATCCAGGGCCCTCAGATGACAAGGGGTCTTTTCTTTCTGCGTATTTATTTTGGACAGATGGTGGTGGATACTGTGAAGCTGAGTTATGTATGGAAATATTTATAGGCTTGTGCTGTGTGCGTGCACACACACCTGCGTGTCTACATATACTCCTTGGTATCTGCAGGGAATGATTTTAGGACCCCCATACTAAAATCCATGGATGCTCAATTCCCTCATATAAATAGCACAGCATTTGCATATAAGCCCCTTGTACCTTAAATCCTCTCGAGGGCCCTGATACTACACAGCGACTTACGTTTGTGTTACATACCAACATCAATGCTATGCAAATAGTTACATTGTACCGTTTCAAGAGTACAAGGAAAAAACAAAGTGTGTGTTCCATCCAGGCTCGGTTTATCTTTTCCCATATTTCTGATCCGTGACTGACTGAATCTGTGGGTCAGAACCCCTGGATGACTGTTTACATATGGCAATACGCCCATGCACACAGACATCCATACCTAAGACCGAGCCCTGTGGTCACATGAAAAAAAAAATGCCAATAACTTCACGGTTCCCCAGTTGTCCCCTTCCAAACATGCAGCAATAGTACCATACGGACAGCCTTGTGCAGGCGGCCAGCGGGACAGAGCCTGACGGCGAGGAGGACAGAGTGGCCACTCCCTTACCTGCCGCTGCACAGCCGGTGAACTGTTCCCCGATGGTGGCCAACAGGAGCTCTTTCCAAACTGTGGACTGAAGTGGGAGCATAATAAAAAGACAAAACACAGTTTCAGACGGTGCTCAGTAGGTGAGCGAGTCCCAGTCCCTCCTCACCCACACTGCACGTGGCCACACCTACAGCCCGCAGACGGCGGGGTAAACACCTACCGTGGGCACGTGGTATACCGGTTCACAATCAGTGCTCCCCAGATAGACACGAGTGATCAGAGTCAGGCCAGCCAGCAGCTGGCGCGTCCCTGGTGAGGCTGGGAGAAGGGCAGGGGCAGGAGGCACTCCAACAACGGTCATTTTCTGGTTTCTTTACCTCTTCCTGACTTGAGATGATTGTATTTGAGAGCTACTGGTAAAATCCTTCCCTTTTTTCCTTGCATCTGATGAAGCACTTCAAAGGTCACCCCAGGAAAGAACGCTGAAGGGAGTTCAAGTTCGCTGGATCCTAGGGACTCCCACAGTTCCATTCTCTGAGTGGCAGGTTTACGTGTGACTGTGCGATTTCCCTGGAAGGACTCGTCCATGCCCTGTCTGCCTCCTGGCCGTGGGAAATGCTGGAGCTCGGCCAGCCCACATCCACTGACACCGTGTAACGTCCACGTTAAATCTAACGTCCTAGAGGACCACCAGCCCTCTTCCTTCCTCCACTTGAGAAGTTGGTCCCCTTTGTCTGGCCATAACTTAGCACTCTGTAGTCTCCCCTCCTGGATCCTCGGAGGCTGATGGGCAGGTTAAGGGACTGAGCATCCGTCTCCATGGCTGAACAGACCAGTAACGATGGGGCTGACCTCTTGGGATTGAGAGAGTGGCCTCCATTAGTGAAAATATCCAATGGCCGAGCACCGCGATTGCAAGGACACAGCGCCACCTTCAAGATGGTCCCATCAACAGCTGCAGGTGCACCCTGGGCGAGGCACTGGACACACAGTAACTCAGCACGATGGCAGGTGTTTGGTGCTTCCTGGGAGCTGACGGCAGCGCGCCCTTTAACCAAGCAACCGCCCTTCACCCGGGAGCTGAAAGGTGGCCCCCCACCCTCAAGGAGGTTTCCCCTCTCCCCTAGACCGTCCCTCCTCATCTACTGGTCTTCCCTCTGGAAGTCCTCCCTTCCACCTTTTACCTGTGCAACTCTGGCCCTGTGCTGTGTTGGGGACGAGGCCGGGGTGGGTAGAGATGTCCAGGGTGGGTGGAGATGTCCGGGGCAGGGGAATTCCCACTCCTATTCAGCTTGAGGGCGACCGAGTCCACCAGACTTCCACTGGGCAGCAAGGCCCAGCAAGTCCAGTTGTTTGGGCTCCAGGCATAGGAAAGGTTCCCTGGGACCAAGTGTGGCCCAGGGGCTAACAAAGACAGTGGACCCGGACAGCAGGGCTGCTTCCTCCAGAATTCAAGGTCTAGTGCGTCAACAACCCAGAAAGACAAACAGAATTCTCTGTGAAACCTAAGAACAAAACCTACGATTCCGCCCTTCCTTTCATTTTCTGCGGTCTCTGTGAGGTGGTAGGGGGCTCGTAGGCCTGGCCCAGTGTGTCCTTTGTCCCTCTGATATTTTTGTCAAGTACGCCTAGTAACGTGTCTTGGAGGTGCACACCCGGGTGATGGTTGGCACCCCGACAGGTGAATCCGGTCCTATTGTTAAGTCTGTGTTTACGGGAACTTGCTCCAGCTCAGACATAGGATTCCCAGCGACATTTCAATCTTGGAGCTTCTCCATTAAAGGTGAGGCTGGGCAGCTCTTTCTCTTTGTCCATTTTGGTGAAGCTCTGTGCTTTCCTGGGGCTGAAGACAGACACTTTTAATGCCCATGTTTATTTTCAGACAATCGAGGACCTGGAGCCCACTCCCACGCCCGGAAAACCCAGGCTCCTGAGGTGTGGCTTCTGCAAACCAGCCTCCTGCCAGGCCTCTGGGAGAGGCCAGGAACAGCCTCCCAAGACCCAGAGAAGGTCACGATGCACAGCCTGTCCTGCACCCGTGGTCACTCTTGGGGGCACTTTGCCAGTCCAGGGTTGAGGAGTCTTGGAGAGAGGGATCCTGCGTCCCTCTGAGGAAAACCAACTTCTCCGTGTCAGTTGGGCTGGCGAGGAAGGACTGCAGCAGAGACCGTCGGCTGTCTGCAATGTGAGTGGGCACTGCCCCCACACCATGTCCACACAGGGCACAGCGATACACTTGAAGGTGACAGTGTAAAGAGGAACATCGCCCGGGTCAGAGAGGAATCTCTCACCCTGAACCTGTTGGGAGACCCACGGGCTGGCTTCTGAAAAGCCCAAATCACCCCAGCACGCAGCCCCGGCAACTCCAAGTGCACCTGCTCTGGGAAGTGACGGAACCAACCTACCGTGCTGTCCTTGGGGACTTTCATCTTCCAGACGCCGCCCTTGGCATTACTGTCCTCTTCCCTGGATCAAAGAGCAACATCCACAGTTACACCCAATGGCACACAGTTCAGCCTGGCTGAGAATGGGCATTGCTGCCTGCAAGGCCTGAACAACTGATGACCTCAAAAGCAGAGCCCACGGCCGTCCTGGGTAAGCTCCCCCATCCTTGAACTGCAAGGGGTGGGGTACAGAGGGCAGAAAGCAGAGGCCAGGGCAGGCAGCGTGTCAGAACAGGGTCCCTAATCTCAAGGAGGTGGTGCTGAGGCTGCCTGGACCCTCGGGGGATGGAGGATGAACACACAGCCCCAGCTTACACTCCAAGTCGTGTTTGTTGGGTACCTGCGAAGGCCATTTGTTACCACAAATAGGAGGCCACCTGAAACCCACCCAACCAGGAAAGCTCCCGGGAGAGCATCGAGGGCTGGTAACAGCTGCAGACCCGGATCTGAACCCATGGGATGACCCTGACCAGGGGACTGGATTAGGGGCTCCAGAAAAATCCACTTGAGACTCCATTTAGGTTTCTGTGTTTGCTACCAAGTGAGCCGAGAATCATTTTCCTGTGAATAGTGAGAGCATAGCAGACCGGATGAAGGTCTGAGGCAGGACTTGCTGCTAATTGAGACTCTGACCTGGGCAAACTCAGTGTCCAACCCTCTGGCCCAGGCACTAAGCTATTAAGACCCTGGGCCACAGCCAGAATCACAGGCTTGCTCGGGGTCCACATGAAAGACACGCAGGTGAAAAGATCTCTCCCAAGGTCCCCAGCCATCTCCCTCCCACTGTGACCTCAAGTCACAAGTTAGACACTTACCAAAGCGGTCGCCTCTCTCCTCTCATTAAGTGGTAACTACATCTCAAAGGCAGGCTGGTCACAGGGGGTATGTTATTGTACACACTCCAGAATATCTTTAAGAGAGAAGATGATTTGTTTAACAGACCCAGTAACGATTTACCAAGCCGAGTCACATTAAATCCTATCCTTTTGAAATACATTTTGCTCAGTATCCCTTCTGAATTGCTGCTAGAGAATGTAATATGACTTTAAAGCGTGTTCCTTGCCAACGCGGGGCCCGGGCTGTCTGTCAGGAAGCCGTGTTATTAGTGAGCATTCCAGGCAACTTGTCCACACACGAATCTAGGAAGGCAACACCACAACAGGGCTGAAGCTACCAGGCTGTACCTGGGGTTTTCCCTCAGTAAGTGGATTCTGTCTGCACTTGGGACAAAAAAATGCATCTGTGCGGTAGACAGTAACCACTGCACTACCTCTGTGAGTCCTACTCCATAAAGTCATAAACCTGAAACACACACAAAAGAAATGTTTTATGAAAAAGAAATTATCAACTGACACTGTGAAAAAAATGTTTTCCCCCCTAGTGCATAAATGTTTAACTAAGTTTGTCCAGTTAACTTGCATTGTTACGGCAATTAGATCTTTTTATACTTCTGAAGACTCAACTTGAAAAATCACATGAGCGTGTTTGACTACATTCACGTGGGTTTTATTATATATTGGAATATGACTTTTTTCACACAGAAGGATCCACATCAGTTACAGCTTTATGGTCACTGGTATTCTGTTGTCAACTAAATGACTTTGTCGTAACCTGAGCAAGACACACCGAGGGGAGGGGACCTTGATGGTGGTCTTCCCATGGGAGGCCTGGGGAGTAGGTCAACATAGATGGCCATGACAGTGGACCCTCACACAGACACTGCCCTGACAGAGGAACCTCTCCTGACGCAGTCCAAGGTACGCACCCTCCTATCGGATCACGTTTCCTTATAATGGGTCTTGGGGAGGAGACCATGGTGCCTGGGCTTGGAGGTGTGAAGGAGAGGAACTGGCGCATGCTGTCCCCTCTATGGGCTACCTATCTGCATCCTCCCCCAATTCTTAGGACACAGGAACTGCCGTGAGGGCAGGTGTGGGCTTCTGAAGGCAGGGAGTGCGTCCTTCTCCACATGAGGAGGCAGGAAGCAGCCGCTGCCTGAGAACCCTCTGTTAGCAACCAGCCTGCAGCTCAGGGAGAGCCTCTAAGGCCCTAACCTGACGGCCTTCCACAGACCAACTCCTCAGTCAGGCGGCTGGACCTCCCAGAGGAGAGGAAGTCTGGATGTCACCGGCCGCGCACAGGACGAGTTTGCCCTCCCGTGTTAACAGGCTGCACAGGTTGTTTAGGAAGACTTTCTGGTTATGATAAATGATGCTGAGATTCTATTAATGGAAGAAATAGAAGTTTCTATTCTATGTCAATTTAAGTTAAGAGTCCATTTGGGAGGAATACCGGGTAGCACATAGGCACATGGGACAGGTGTGGCTGGTCTTGGAGGTGACCCAGCAAACGGCTGAGGTTGCCACAGTGCTTTCAGGGTGGACTTCTCAGTCTTGTGACAGGCAAGGCTGAAAGACCCTGGGGACAAGGGAGTCCTCCCCTGCCAGTCTCACCCAGCAGGACACTCTGCATTGTGCCACACGGAAGCCTGGGCATGCTTGGAAGTCACATTTGGCTCCGTGCTGCACTCACCAAGGACACAGAGCCACCGGAGAAGCTGGAGATGGAATCAGCACCAGAAAACACCCTGCGCAGAACATGGAGCTTTCCCAAGATGGAGAAGGGAAATAAATTCAACTCCAGGTGGACGGAAGCTGCTGGCTGCAGTGAGGTGTCAGGGGGTCCTCTGAGGTCACCGCTCGGTCAGGGGAGTGAAAGAGAACTGAGCTAGGGCGGAGGAGTCTGGCCCCATGGGCACAGTGTGACCGGCTGCTCCCTTTGGACATTTGGGCCACTGACTTCCCATCCTCGGTCTCCGCAATGATAAATAGGCATGAGAATTCCTCCCTCACCCCTTGAACTTGGGTTTGCACAAGGGCCTCAGAGAACAGAAGGATGGATCGCATCTTGATGTGAAGCGCTCATTAACAGGTGCTTCTTAACGTAATGAGGTGCACACATACAGGGATCAGACCTGATGAGGCAGGCAGACGGTCAGTGCCCACAGAATTAAAGCGTTGACACAAGGCAAGAAGTGGATCTGCAGGTGACTCTCAGGTCAGCACTTGCCTGGCTCCTAAGCACCAGCAACCACTCCCGGGAGGTTAAGGACACTCAGGGCTGACCTCCCTGATCTATGGGTAAGTCAGATGTGCAATCCAGGGCACCATGGCCCGAAAGGGACCACCGGACACAGCGGCACATGCTTCTCCTACGTAAAGCATGGTTGGGGAAGTAGGAGAAGATGCCCCAGCACGTGACGGGGACTGGAGCACTCGGGGGATAACAAGGAAGACCTGGCCATGGTGCAGACTGCCTCCGCTGTGAGTGTAACCTGTTCTCGCTCTGGTTTGTCCTTCTGCCTTCCTGCAGGCCAGCGTCCCATGCTGGGAGCAGAAACTGACCCCTTGCTTGGGCACCAGCCGGACACAGGCTGGCCAAACCAAGCCAGGCTGAGCCACACTGCTGCCCGTCAGCCCTGTCGGCTCTCCACGACTGTCCTTCCCTGTATGGTCCTGGAGCTGTGGCCAGAACGGGGCGACAGGTTCCTTAGGAGGGCGCTAGACCAGCTGTCGCCCTAGCAGGGCCACACTGAAATAGGGTGCTTCCTGCTTGGCCACCCTCTCTGCTAACTGGACTCTCCTGGGGGTGGGTGGCAGCAGCTGGTTGCTAAGTCCCCAGGGTCAGGCTGCTGCAAGGACTCTGTCACAATAGGGGACACAAATGACGGCAGAGGGGCTTTCCATGGTCCTTGGGACACTTCCCGTGTGCCTGACCCACAGCCCGTGGAACTCTGCCAACAGCAGGCAGAGTCACTATCGTGGCTTTTCTCTTCTGTAGATGAGTAAAGGGTTACAGAGAGGCCAAGTCCCTCGGCCAAGCTGCAGGGTGCCAGGTGGGGCACAGGAATCCGGGCAGCGTGACCACCCTGTGCCCAGCCCACCCCATGAGTCAGTCAACCACTGAAGCAGAGGGCGGAGTCAGGAGCCCTTGAGTAAAAGCTGGCAAGACACGACCTTCCTGAGGGCCACGACCTTCCTGAGGGCCACGACCTTCCTGAGGGCCGCGACCTTCCTGAGGGCCGCGACCTTCCTGAGGGCCATGCCCTGCAAAGTACCCGCCTGGTCCCATCTGGCCCTCCCCCCGCCTGGGTGTGTAGGCACAGGCCCTGCTGACGCCTCACTGCACAGATGGGGAAACTGAGGCAGACAGCAACCTCGGGCTCGGGAAGGAGCTCCCTGCACAGGAAGCGCAGTGCTGCCCAGCCTCTCCCTCACGGGGGACCCCCACTGCCCTGAGGAAGCCCTTTCCTTACCATCCCGACGGAGTGTCAAAGCCACAGACAGACTGAACCTCTCTCCACAGAACGCACAAGGCCTGTCCATGTTTTATGCCACAGTGTCAGGCTTCTTCCCCAAACTTCCAAGAACCAATATTGGCCTCCATCGAGAGACTATGGCCCTAGACAGCGGTGTTTTTTTGTTGTTGTTGTTGTTGTTTTGTGGTATTGGAGACTGAATCAAGGAGTGTTTAACCCACTGAGCCACATCCATCCCTGGCCCTTTTTAATTTACTTTTTATTTAGAAACAGGGTCTGGCTAAGTTGCTTAGGGCCTTGCTAAATTGCTGAAGCTGGCCTCAAACATGTGATCCTCCTACCTCAGCCTCCCAGACTGCAGGGATTACAGGCGTGTGCCACCATGCCTGGCAGATGGAGAGATGTTCATGGGGACGACCTGTTGTGGCCCCGGAAAGTGGTTCATTTGTGATGCTCTCGTTCATCCCTTCCATCCCTCGGTGTTTACTGGGTGAGGGCAGACACAGCACAGCGCCCTGTGATCCCACTCCTTGCTGCCTGAACCAACACTGCCCTGGAGTCCTGACCACTCTGACATGGTGACGGGGAGGAAAGCCACAGTACCTAGGAGCTGCAGGGGAGGACAGGCCTCAAAGGCGGGTGCTCTGAGGCTCACAGAGTGGCTGGGGAGAGGTGGCGATGTCTGCAGACCCAGAGAAGGGGCAGCGGGGGGGGTCCTCCCAGACCACGAGGGCGTTCCTTTCTCTAGAGGGGCCGTGCTGCCCATGATGCTGCCCGCCCCTGGCACCTGGCGACTGTTTACAGTGGCACTCTCCCTTCCCTTTGCTTTCCATGTGCTGATGTCACTTTCCTAACTAGAGAAGAAATGGCCAGAGGCAGGGACTGTCCTTCCACCAGCCCTCGGTGGCCACGGGAAAGTGACTGAGGGAAACAACCCAGACACCCACGCGCTGGGGTTTCTGAGACACGGTGAGATGAAGGGTCACAGCAGGAAAGCTCTTTATCACCCGGGCCTTCTGAACACCCAGGACACTGGTCAGCACAGCCTGAAGCCGGGCCTTCTAAACCCCCAGGACTGGTCAGCACAGCCTAAAGCCACACCCAGGGCACTGGTCAGCACAGCCTGAAGCCGGCTGCAGAGACTCATTCTGCCCCAGCAGGAGCAGCAACAGCAGGGAAGGAGGGAACCTGGTAGGATCTGCTTGTAAAGAAACCAGAAACGAGACCCACTAAATAACTAGGGTTTAGAAAACACTGGCCTTCAGAGCTGGACTGAGAACTGATGGCACCACACGGCTGCGGGCACCTGCGGTGTCTTCGATGTTCTGCCAACAGTGGCACCAGCCCTATCTTCTTTCCCGTCCTGTGGAGCTGGGCTGGAACCCAGGCCTCGTGCCTGTAGGCAGGTGCCCTACGGCAGCCACACTTGGCCCTGATGCTCGACTCACACACTCCTCACACAGCCTGGGGCGGGGGCTGCCGCTGGCACTACAGTGTCACAGCACTTGTCCACGGTCCCCTCTCTGGCTCTTACCTGCACTGTTGGCACTGTGTAGATTTTCTTCAGATTTGAGGCGCACTCGGCGGCCGTGGCACCAGGGAGAGACCTAGGCAGTCGCCAACAGAGGAACAGAGAGGCAAAGAGACCAGTCAGCGTTCGCCCGAGAGTCCAAAACAACCTCCGCAGCTCTTAATATAAGTCGGGTCTAAGACCACAGATTCAGACACTCAAGGGGTGCTCATTAGAATGAAAACCATGAATTTCTTGTTTGTGAAGACCCGGGTTTGCTTCTCCTAAAAATGAGCATTTTCATTCAGAGGAAATTGAAAAGGGAGAACAAGGAACAGGAAGAAGAAAGGCACTGGGAAGAGCCGTGTTTGTAAAATACACTAAAACAACCCAGCAACACCCAGCGTTTTGCCCAGGGCTTTAGAGGAGACACTGCCCACTACAGCAGAGACACAGGAGCTGGAGGGCCGTCCCCTGCGGGCGTCTGCAGACCTGTGGTCACACCACACACCCTTGGGAAACCGAAGGGCCACGCTGCTCTAAGGGCCTATCACTAAACGTCCACTCTCCTGAGTCACCTGAGTTGGCAGGTTCCGACGCCTGCCTTCAGAAGGGACGCAGCTAGTTCTGCAGCAGGCTGTGCTGGGCTGTGGTCTGTGCTCTATGCTCCACCAGATGGCAACATTCTACACATTTAGTCACCAGCACACCCAGGGGATGGGAAGAGCTCCATCAGGCACCACTTCCTGGGACTGGGGGTGTGGCCAGTGATCGCAGGGATCCTTAGATGCTCAGGCTCTCCATTCCTGGCCCCGCTGTGGCTCCCAGCATTCATGCTAGAGCTAGGGGCCAATCCGGGGGTCAGAATTCATCCCCCACTCCATGCTCCTCCAGAGCTACACCTCTGCACGAGGAACCAGCACCGGCCCAGGGACACATCTCCCAGAACCCCCGCAGGCCGCGCCTTGTGGACACTGGTTGACCACTGCTCGCTGGAGATGCGCACAGCACACACGTTTGCTCAGAGGCAGAGGTGATGGCAAGGGGCATGCCGGGGAGGGGTGGCGTGGCAGGCTACAGAGACTCATGCCTGGAAGTGGGGACTACTGTCTGGAGGTCAGAAATAAGGACCCTAATGGGCCAGCGGGGCACAAGGGACCTCACAGGGCTTGGGTCTGGAGACATATCCCCAAGGCGCTGGGGCACTGGGTTACAATACTCTCTTCTGGTTGTGATTATATTTGCCTGATTTCGTTTTTAAAAAGCAACTCCACTATCACCATCACGATTGTGTTTTTCCCAGAGCTAACGTCTAAGACAACCATCCCACGGTGGCAAAGAGCCGGGTGCCAGCCCCCCTCACTACTGATCCGGGCCCCAGATGAAATTCAGCAGCTGCAGATGCGATGGGCTTGTGGTTGCTGAGGCACCGAGTTGGGTAGATAACACTTGGCGATTCAACGGGAATTTTTAGCTTTCTTGGTTTATATTATGAAAGATTATGGGGAAGAAAATGAAAATCATACTCATTCCTTCTGAATAGAGTGCTCCATGAAAACTCTACTGCTATGACAGGAAATCTCTTGGTAGTTATTTCAATACTAGTTTTCTTACTTTTAAAAGTCTGGCTGGACTGTTCCAGCAAATATGACCCCCCCCCCAAAAAAAAAACCCATATATTCCTGGGTCCCCCAAAGCATACAACAGGATGCACACAGGACTCTTTCCCTAGCTGTACACGGGGGAAGGAGTTAGACCTCAGGGACTGGATTATATTCTGCATTTTTTTCATTTTGGACATGATGTAGTTCAAATTTTCACCGACTTTTAAGTTATACTTCATACAGGATTGTGTCACTTTCAGCAAATACTATATGAGGATATTATCATTTAACTTAAAAGATCATCAATGAACCTCTTCCCAAGTGGCTCTGTCTCCAGTCTGGTCTTTTCCTCCTAGTCCAGCGCAGGGGAAAATTACTCCAGGGCATTAGGTTTGCTCAGTTGTACTGTTTGTGAAGATATGAAGTTTCCAGACCCCAGGAAAGACCTGTGGAATAAAAGCCCTTTCCAGGCTTAGTAACAGAACAGTGTCACCCGCTAATATGTATGCGCTAAGTTCTTTTCTTCTTCTTCTTCTTTTTTTTTTTTTTAAATACGGCTGAGACTCTAACGCAGGGTGTGTGCATGCCAGGCCAGCACACTACCACGGTGCTAGGTGCACCCCAGCCCTGTAGTGCCAAGTCCTTGACACTGTGCTAAGCATCTGACCTCGACTCAGCGCTGAACCCCGGGCGATTCTGCTCATGCAGTGGTCAGTGTTACTTATGACCTCTGTGCAGATGAGCCAGCTGGGGTTAGAGGACTTCGTAGTTCGCCCCAGGGCACACAAGCTGGATCTGAATGCAGGTCACCTGTGGATTTTCTGCTCCCATCCCAGGCTGCTAAGCTGGCCCATCCAGTCGCAGAGACACTGGGGTTTTGTGCTGAGGACAGAAGCAGGGTCTTGCGTGTGCTGACCACGTGTCAACACTGAACTTGGCCCCAGCCCAACACTTACACTTTCTAGGTGTTTTGCAGTGGATTCTTGGCATGGTCTCAGGAAGGCCTCTAGTTTTTCTGAATCCCTTTTTTAATACCAGATTGTGTCCATATGATTTTCTTGGAGGAAACAATACTAACAGAGTCTTCCCAACAAAGAAGGGCTGGGAGAGTCCTCAGATAAGGCAACAGGATCACACTGAAGGCCTGTCTCGTGTGGACAGATGAACATCCTCAGTGCAGAAGCCTGGGGCGAACAATATCTGTCAGGTTCCGCAGAAACTCAGTTTCCTAACTTCTTCCTGGAAGAGGCTGAACTCATGATCTTAAAGGTTCCTTCCAGATGCTGGGAAGTTTTATAAATATCCAGGTTGCAAAATACCAGGACAATGACGTCAGAACTGCAAGGCTCGGCTGGCCAGCGGGAGGCTTGGTGTCCTGTGTCACCACGTCTGATTCGGACGGTCACTGGAAACCACCAACATGCTCATACCTCAGGCCCAAGCCTCAGACTTCTTTCACAAGCCAAACTGGGCCACAGCCACCAAATCCATTTAAAAGGGCAGGCGATCTGAGAGTTCTAAACCGTCCGCCTTGTAAGCAGGCTGGTCTGTCCTGGGCTTGCTGAATCAGAGTGGAGCCAGAAGCCGCGCTGGCTGGGTCCCATGTCTGCTTCCTAAGGTAGCAGTGCTGGTTGTGGGTGGGGCCACAGCTTTGAGGCAGGCAGCCACACTCTCTCTGGGGCCACTCTATCAATCAGCTGTCACCCCCAGAAGCCAGGGTTTGTGACAGATGTCAGTGAAAGAGACGTCTTAACTAGTGTCACACGCACACAGGATATTCTCTTATCTTAAGAGATCATTCATGTTACAAATCCCAGACTCCAACAGAACCCAAATCAAAACCCTCTTTCTGCTGATCAGGCTTGGCTGCCCAGGGATGGCACTCAGGGGTGACACTGCGCCCCAGGGATCTTTGGCCATCTCTGCAGACTGCTTGGTTGCACGGTGGAGGGCGTGCCAGGGCTGCTATTGACCCCACCCCCCCACAGCACAGGACACAAAGCCCTGGCGATGGAGACCACCTGGTCCAAAGCTCCTCAGTGCCCAAGCTGAGCCCCGCTGCCACAGGTCTGCCAGTCTCAGTGGCTTAAAATTTACTTGACAAAGATGTGAGGCACACCTCTTTTAGCTGCTGGGGTCCCGTAGTGACCATTCTAGACAAAGCCCTTGTTGCCATGGGGTGTATCTCCTAGAACCCTCTCGAACTTCTAGAACCCTCTCTCCTGCTCAGATCTCCCCAAAGGCAAAAAAGCAATGACCCAGACCTCTTTATCTGCCTGGAAGAGTGAAGGCGGGTAGGAAAATCAAGAAGGGAATACAGACTGCTTGTGCCCCTTCCTAGAAGACGGGGCCACAGCCAGGGGTAGCCGAGAACCAGGGGACCAGCACGTTGCACCTGCTCTGAATTCTATGTCACCCCAACACAGCCCACAGCTGGAGCCCAGAACATGGCATCAGAAAGACAAAGGTCCCCTGGACAGCCCAGGGTAAGAGATCTGAATCGCCCACCAACACTTCCCCTCCGCTTGAGAGCGCTACACAAAGGCTTGCTCTCACTGACCACGGGTCATCTCCACTGCTTGCAGAAATCCTGCTGGACTGTCTCACTACCCCCAATTCACAGATTAGGAGGCCGAGGCTTGCGAGCCTGTTTTTAGTAGCAGATCTGGGTCCTTCTTCGGCTGTCTGGCTCTGATGCTATGATGGGCCCCAAGGATGAGGCTGTCTCCCACAAAAACCGAACCAGCACTGTCAACGGGGTGTTCCCCCACAGCAGGCCTCACAGCCACACCTCTCTGCCCCCTTTGAGATCACCTCCCTCCCAGGGCCTACCCTCCAACACCAGGTGTCTGCTACTCTGCTGGGAGGAGCAGGGCAGAGATGCCAGGATCCCTGGAGATAAGGGCACCCCAATGGGAAATGAACAGCACAATCTGGGGGGACCACGACTCCACGACCTTGTGTTTGGGGGGCCAGACAACAGAGGAAGATAAAGCACCGAACAAGGGCCACCTATGGGTGGAAGCAGGGAGACTCGGGGACTGAAAGGAATCAGCAGGTCTGAGTTTGAGTCCCAGCTCTGCCACTTAGCAGCCATGGGACCAGCCTGACCCTCGCCCTCTTTCCAGAAACCTCCACCCACTACCATGCTGCTTGGATCACGTGAGATAATGTTGCACGGGTCTTGACATGTGCTTCTGAACACCTCCCACACAGCCCTGGGGACACGGCCATCATCAGCTCTGAGACGGGCAGACAGGTGCAGGGCAGAAGGCCTTTAGACCTGGGGGTGCTGAGCACGTGTTCCAATCTGAAGGATGGAGACTGAGAGAGTCACATGCATAGCTGGGGACCTCCTACATCCAGCTTCAGAAAAGCAAGCATGCCAGGTAGCAGCCTCCCTGAGCCCAGGGACTCAGCCACAGCGCAGGCCATCGCCAGTGGATTGGGCTGATTCAGAAGCTCTGCAGGTCAGTGCAGAGGAGGAGAGGAC